GTATGGCAAATGGATAGCCGAAAATGTTATTTATAACATTTATAATTAATTAGAAATATATTATATTCATGTACATGGTTAGTGTAAATAAAAATTTATTATTATGATTGGATTTAAATTATAATTAATAATTTTATTTTATATTTTGAACAGGAATGAAATGGTATATTTGGACAGTTGATCATCTCGGTAATCAAGTATATAGGACAAGACCTTTGTGTGAATTTAACATTCCTTATAAAAAGAAAGATGTCGAAGATATCTACCAATATTTAAGAGTTTTAAGTGAATTATGTGTAATTATTACTGTTGATTTATTATTACTAAAAATTATATTGATTATTATATTAACAATTTGAATTGTCATTTTTACTATTTAAAAATAGAGGCGTGTCAATAATATCTCTAAGTTCATTGAAGGATTGTATGAATACTTAAAGCAAAAGGCACAGAACAATCCATATATCATACAAGACACAGAATTCGTCAAAATATTGTTAGATGGATGTGCGATTACAAATCCTACTCCTTCAAGTAGCCCGAGAGACGATTCAAGTAGCATGTCATCAGAAGAACATGTAGAAGAAATCTTATCTTCATTCATGGAAGAAAACGTTGAGGAACTATCAGATTCAGAGAATGGTTGGGACACGCCTAACAATTTTGACTACGAACTAGAGTAATATTTTACTTATAAATTAATGCATGAAAATATAATTGTTTTAGTATCAGATGCAAATAGCATTTATATTTATTTGAAATGAATTAATTCGTTTATGGAAATGTAATTGAACTTGCAAAAGCATTTACATTTACTTGCAAATGAATTAATTCATTCATAAAAATGTAGTGACTTAGTATCTGATACAAATAATATTGCGACGAATTAATTCATTCATGGAAATGTAATCGAACTTGCAAAAGCATTTACATTTACTTGCAAATGAATTAATTCGTTCATGTAATGTAAATAGCATTTATATTTACCTTTAATAAATTTAATATATTGTGGAAGCATAACTGACTTAGTATGAAATACCTATATTACTGGTTTTATTGATCTTGTTAGTTATTTGAAGATAAGACTTTTCTTTCTAATTAGTAAAGTAGGTTTTAAGGCAAATTGATGAAATCTGTTATTTTACTTTGGATAATTCAAGTTTGAATTTGATTCTGAAGACTTTACGGTCTGTTGAACCCACATCTTTAATAAATGTAATATGTATAACGATAATAATAAATATGAATATTGTGTCATGTGACTATCTATTTTAGGAAAAGTTACATTTTTGATATAATATATTTATTAAAATCAAAAGAGTAACTTCGAACTTTTGTCACTATGTGACAAAAAGTTTGAAGTTACTCTTTTGATTTTAATAAATATATTACATCAAAAACGTAACTTTTGTACCGTACATCTCGCCTCTATACCAAAATTACGAATTATAGTACTGTAATTTTACAAGAATTGTTTTTGCAGGAGCTACGAATAAATTATGTACTAAACTGATATTAATTCTGCAAAAAATTATATTTCAAAACTGAATGTTAGACCAGTACTAAAATCTTGTGCACTATTTAAGATATTATTTTTACTAATAAATGACACAACTTCATTAGCCAGAGAATGAAAATTTTAAGTATGACGGTTATTTCGATCTTTTTATGCGGTTCAGATCTAACTGCATAATAAATTTAAATAATTGTAAGTAGTTATATAAAATTTTATTTGTTAAACAGTATTTTATCGCATCGATTCAATCATTTAATACCTGGATATTATGGAATGAAAGGGTTCACGATAATGTACAAACATTTGATAAGAAACCCCACAGTGTGGAAACCTAAAGTAGGAGGTATAAATAAAAAATTTATAGAAAGAAGTTATCATTCCCGAATTGGGTGTTTGGTTCATAATGGAGTTAATGATTATGATACTGCTGTAAAAATAACGTGTGAGAGCGTTGAATATGGTAACCAACATTTTTTCGGTAACCATAATGACGAATGCTTTTGGTGAAAAGAAATATTCATACCTAGAGATGTATCTTGTACATGTTGATAAAACTATCGTGCCTTGTGAGTTCACGTGACTTACGCGTGAGATTAACTATTTTATTAAGAAAGGAAGAGACAGAGATGTGAACCGTTATCCTATTGAATAATAAATCCAATGAATATTTTGATGAATTAAAAATTAGTTTCTATCTTTTCTATAATATTGTAAATAAAAAATCTTTATTTTAGTCGTTTTGTAAATCCCCAAGTTTAGAAAATTTATTAATTTCATAACTTATACTAAAATGGTCATGATGGGTGATAAACGCGTAAACGCTCTCATGGTCGTGTCAACATTCCAATAGTCATGTAAATGTAACTTTTGGAGTATAAACGCTCCTAAAATTTAAAAAAAAAGTATTTAAAGACCAAATGTTCAAACATAATTCAAATTCGATTGTGACTTCATAGTCCCATAGGACTACTTAAACACGTGATCTGGATTCAATTCCAATGTCTTTACTATATTCTTTTTGTATTTATGTATACTGCCTTTCTCAGGCATGTGTTTCAACAGTCCCATGGGACCGCGAAGTCGCGGATTAAGTATATATTTGGGTTTGATCACTAATGTTATCACATTTTTTATAAAAAGGGACTTGATTACTAACATCTTTTCTCTTTTATTTCTTACTAACGATCGATAACAGATTAACAAGAGTCACGATCACAAAAGGGATTTATTACTGTTTGGATACATTTTCGAAGCTAAGACTAAGGTCTATTTTTATTCAAGATATGTATCGTAATTGTTATGTCCAACAAGTTAAATATACAAAGCATACCCACAGATTCTCTTGACCTTACACTTATTCTACACAGTAGAATTGAGCTAAAATGTGGACGGAAATGTAAAAACCGAAAGTAAAAGTTTTTATGACGCAATTGAACACGCTTTGCAAGATACTTCACTTGATAGACAAAAACAAGAGAAGCTCAAGAATTTGAAGGAAATATCTATAGATACCATAAATATTGTTTTAATCGGATTATACTAAAAATAGTATGATGAAATTTTAATTAAAAATTTATGTAACGAGCACAGCTCAGTAGGAATTTCATTATGAATTAATGCAACGAGCACGACTCAGTAGAGTTTTTTAATTGACTTAAATATTATCGAAGTAGGGTCGGCC